CTCCAAAGATCTTGTTTGACAGATGCCATCTTACGTCTCACGTCTACTCTGTGGAGCTTGCGCCATAAATAAAGAACCCAATTTTAAGCTGCGAATTAGTCCTCGAGTGTGCAGTGGCGATTCAGTCACATAGCAGGATGAGGCCCTGGCAAACACGTATTCCAGTAACAGCTATTAGTGTAGTCTTACTACTTAATATGTATATTGAGAGTCAGAATTTGATTTTATTTCATTTCTTGTAGGCCACTTACTCGTACGTAGCGTAGCAGTTCTTTAAGTGGTACGTTGTGAAATCACTTAAATTCCAAGTACTATCAGAGAAAAATAAGCTGATGTTTAGGTAAGTCCATAGCGCCTAACAATGATATTATATGTAGGTTCTAGGGTGCTTGACATGATCATTCGTCCGCGCGACCCTTTTTCCGTATCCACTCCAAAATTGATGCACTACCTTCAGTGGTAATACTTACTACTCGACAGTACTACACAAGCATAACCCTCCTCCTGACGGGCAAATAGATAAAAATTACCACCATGTATGGAGGGCACGAGTATAATAGCTAAATCAAAAGTGAAAGTTGAATGTGCTGGCGCTAAATGGTGGCTAGTGGCTGGACGCCGTTGATAAGTGCTCTGCTCAGCGGCTTTTCAAACTGAAATAACGAAAATTTCATCATGGCATTATATTCCGCTGGTCCTTTACTCCTTCCGTAGTCTATTGGCCTGAGCGATCGCCTCAGGATCTGGAAGTCCCAGGTTTGATTCCCGTTGGAGCATCCACTTGATATTAACACTGCATTTGTTCCCAGTTCAGTGAAGCTGAGTCCGTGCCTCCAGATTGTCCGTAAGAGGGTTCCGTGCTTCGGAGGGCATGTCAAGACATTTCCTCCTGTTGATGACATAAATACTATGAGATAGCGACCCTGCGATGATTAGAAAAATAAGTAGGTATGTCCAGGCCAGCGATCAAGGCCCTATACTACTACATGATCATGACATGGCCCGTACAATCTCGGTGTCTCACACAACTGATGAAAAGTATTATAAATCGCGTATCTTTTCAGTAATCACCGCGACACTATGTAAAGAGCGAACTGACACCAAAATAAAACCTGAACAAAGCGCACAGAAAAGCGTGTATTATTTACGGTTCTTTCGCTCACATTGTTCCGTAAAAGCCTCTTCGGGAAGAAACTGTTCAATCCGTGGAACACATGTGCGTGTCAAACTGAGTATGATGGATGGTTGCGTCACACCTCCCCCCGGCTTCCCCCGGGATAATGCGCCTCCCCTCCGGCACCTGCACAGGGAATTTAGACTTTTTTTAGCTGTAAATGAATCTCGTTTCGCAGCTTGCTTGGAAAGTTCAACGCGATTAGCTCCTCACTAAGTGTTACGTGTTAGGTGCTTCCACGTTCCAATGCAGCCCATACACAATACAAAATATTCGTAGTCCAGTCCCAAATTGCCTGGCTTTATGTCCCAGTTCATCAATTTCACTCTCCCCTCCGTATTATATGAGCTGCACCGAGGCTGCACCATAGTTAAAATTGATGATGTAGTGTTATTATATTAATTTACCTACTCTTGTGACTACAGGATGTGGTTTCCTTACGGCAAATTCCAAGATATCGTGTGCTTCTCCATGGCAATCCCTATGAGGAAATCTATGACTTCGATTCGTAAACGATGTCTCGACAAATAGTCCTAGCGGTAGTTCAAAACATGCTGCACCTGAGAGAAGAGTTCTGAAATTTGGTACACTTAATCTTTAGGGTCAATGAATCGATTTGACCCGTAGTACACAATTTTAAAAAAATCCTATGAGGAGTAATGACGTCATCTTTTTTTTGTATGGGAAAAAAAAGATTTTTTTCCAAAACCTATCGTGTGTGGTATCAAATGAAAGGCCTTGCTAAGCCGATTCTAAAAATATATCACATTATTATATTTAAGTCACTTGTATAAAATTAATTAGGAAATAATTCTCGAAACATGCCACGTTTGGGCTTCTCCAGGTATGATACGGTTGAATCATTACTTATGAAATATACGTAATGTAATGTGTAATATCCTCATCTCTAACCTCAAGAGAGGTACTACGGATTTTTTGTCCTAAAGTAATTTTTTTTTAAATTTTAAAGTTACAGAAATTTATGAAAACACACTTAGTTGAAATTTGGCATCGAAAGTTCAATTTTGGACACCGAGAATGATAAAAATATAGCCAGTTGAGATTAAAATCATATTATTATGTACATCACATCATATTCGTTTTGCAAAAAGAATGTTATGTGCTTCGGAGGGCACGGTTAACCCTCGGCCCCATAGCAGTCGCTCTCTATGAATAATAAGACGGCGGCGGTCCGTCAGAGTCGTCAGTTAGGGGCTGAATAGCAACCATGGTTCATCGGGTCGTTCGTAGACTCGGTGTCCCACTTTTCAGAACAAGATTTATTAATAATAGGATGATAAATACAATTGCGAGAGAAGTTTTCGATTGATGGTTAAAGTGATCATTTCTCTATACACAGATTATATACACACCGGCAAAATTAACGGAATCTATACATAATAATAAAGTTGTAGAGGGTCGAAAGCCTGTACATAAAAGATATTGGAAAATAAATTGTCAGCGAATTCTTGAAATTGATTACAAAACACGTTTCAAAAGTTTGTACATATTTTTTCCGTTTAGATGTTTGTATGTGACAGCATCCTGAAAAACTACTGAACGGATTTTGATAAAATTTGGTACAAAGATTGCTATCGCATTGAAGAAGGTAAAGGCTACTTTTTTTCCTCCACTTGAGGGACTGGAGTACCTGATGTGTACCACTAGAAGCTAAACCACGAGCCCAGCTAAACAATGGGAAATACATTTATGGCACCAAAGCAAGAATTGTTTAGCATCATGGAATGCTCCTGCTGGCAAACATAGATCGAAGGTTTGGAGAACCTTATGTGGACCACCAGGTGCACCTCCAAGAGCCCAGCTAAACTACAGGAGACACATATTATAATAGTCCCAAAGCAAAAATTGTTTAGCGCGATGGGACGTGTCTGCTGGAAAATATAAATCGAAGGTTTGGAGAACTACAGGAGATACATATACGTCCCCGAAGAAAAAATAATTCAGCTTGATTGGGCCCTCCTGCTAGCAATTAGAAATCAAAGGTTTTGAAAACCTAATGTAGGCTATCAGGAGTACCAAAAATAGCCCAGCTTAAATAGGTACATGAGATATATATGGCCTCAAGGTAAAGAATATTTAGCATGGCGGGACATTTCTGCTGGCAAATAGCTAATGAAGGTGATGGATACCCTGGGAATAAATGTAAGGATGCTGGTGTGGGAATAATGTGTGTAAAGACAAATGAAAATTATAAAGATGAACCAAAACTCCTCTCGCATCTGTATTTATCATCTTATAATTAATAAATCTTGTTCTGTCAAGTGGAACACTGAGTCTACGAACGATCCGATGAACCATGGTTACTATTCGGCCCCTATCTATCGACCCTGACCGACCGCCACCGTCTAATTATTCATAGAGAGCGACTGCGATGGGGCCGAGGGTTAACCGTGCCCTCCGAAGCACATAACATGTTATTTTTGCAAAACGAATATGATGTACATATAATTGAAATCTCATCTGGCTTTATTTTTATCATTCTCGGTAACCAAAAACGAACTTTCGATGCCAAATTTCAACTAAGTGTGTTTTTATAAATTTCTGTAACTTTAAAATGCAAAAAAAATTACTTAAAGATAAAAAATCCGTAGTACCTTTCTTGAGGTTAGAGATGAGGATATTACACATTATATTACGTATATTTCATAAGTAATAATTCAACCGTATCATACCTGGAGAAGCCCAAACGTGGCATGTTTCGAGAATTTTTTCCTATTTAATTGTATACAAATGACTTAAATATAATAATGTCATATATTTTTAGAATCGGCTTAGCAAGGCCTTTCATTTGATACCACACACAATAGGTTTTGGAACAAAAAAAATTTTTTTCCCATACAAAAAGAAGATGACGTCATTACTCCTCATAGGATTTTTTTAAAATTGTGTACTACGGGTCAAATCGATTCATTGACCCTAAAGATTAAGTGTACCAAATTTCAGAACTCTTCTCTCAGGTGCAGCATGTTCCATACATTCGGCCAGCGAGCCGCTAAGGCTAAAACCTGTTTTTTTTGTGACTTATTTCGACAAATTATCGACAATGCTCAAATAAAATGTCAAATTTTTGACATATTCAAAGTCATGGATTTCCACATGGGGCATGCCACTGAGAAGTAGTACACCAAGAAACCGCTGGAACAATAATTTCCCAACAATTATTGTATGGCTTTGTAATTATTACAAAATTATTTACAAAATCGATGACAAAACCCAGGCGTGATACATCTCTCATACGAGTATTTTGATCATACCTTGACGACACATTTATATTTTGACCTAAATATAGGAAAAGTGTTTTTAAGTTTTTTTTTAATATTTTTACTTTCTTGCATTATTTCGTAGTGTATTTACACTTTTTATAAAGAACTAGCGTCATCGGCAGGGCTGTGAGTTCGAAAACCGCTCATGTGAAATTTTTGGTTTCTATATTTATTTTCTTCATCCTTTAACTATTCAATTCAGTCCGGCTTTGTACGGCCTTTGTTCTATTCTAGTTCGTCAATAATTACAGGTCGGCACTGTACACTGCACCGTGTCGTCGCCTCATAGAATATTCACAGAGAAACCACTGTGGAACCATTACAAATCTATATAAAGGGCTTTACGGTGGCCACACATAGAGTAACACCCCGATTTACGCGACCTCGTTTTACGAAAAATTCACGCTACCTCGCTTTTGTTTCGAATTACCCTTAAAAACTTGCTTTTCGAACAATCAGGTAGTTCAGCTTGCAATGTCCTAATCACACTAGGAACAAATTCACAAAGTTATGTATGTTATAAATAATATCAGCTTCATGAGTAACCCCGCGGGAATCGAACCCGAAACCTTCTGCGTCGCAGGCAGTCGCACTACCACTGTGCCACGGGTCCGGAATCGAAGTTCGAATCACAGAGGTTCGAAAGGATTCAGTGCGAAAAATTTATTTTCGAACATTAGTTCCTACGAAGGTAAGTTGTATCGATTTAACTTTGCTGCGAAACATTATGCATCGACGCTACGTTCCTCCGAATTTGTTTTTTGCCGACCCAAATCTAGCCGAAATAGTAGTTTATGCAACTGTCTTATAATGGGAGGCATTAGAATGTGAGTGTCTAGAGCCGAGTGTGATAATAGTTTGACACGAGCATTCTAATGCCTAATTATATGCAGTTGCATACACTATTTTATCTACACTAAAAAAAAAGTATAAAAACAAACTAGGTAGGCAGACTTTACCTACGCACCGGCCATTGCAAGGTCCTTTCACACTGTGATTGTACAAAGAAAAATTCAATACGAGAACGTTCAAAACTGCACAAATTTCACAACTAAACAACTTTTAAAACTAAACTACCTTTAAAACTTAACAGTTTTAAAACTGAACAACTTTAAAACTGAACAACTTTTAAAATTGAACAACTTTCATAACTGAACAACTTTTAAAACTGAACAACCTTTAACCGAACAACTTTTAAAACTAAACAACTTTTAAAACTGAACAACTTTGAAAACTGTACAACTTACAAAACTGAACAACTTACAAATCTGAACAACTTCTTTCGAAACTGAACAACTTTTAAAACTGAACAATTTACAAAACTGAGCAACTTACAAATCTGAACAACTTTTAAAATTGAACAACTTTCATAACTGAACAACTTTTAAAACTGAACAACCTTACAACTTTTAAAACTAAACAACTTTTAAAACTGAACAACTTTGAAAACTGAACAACTTACAAAACTGAACAACTTACAAATCTGAACAACTTCTTTCGAAACTGAACAACTTTTAAAACTGAACAATTTACAAAACTGAACAACTTACAAATCTGAACAACTTTTAAAACTGAACAATTTTTGAAACTGAACAACTATTAAAATTGAATAACTTTCATAACTGAACAACTTTTAAAACTGAACAACCTTATTAACTGAACGACTTTAAAACTGAACTACTTTTAAAACTGAACAATTTACAAAACTGAACAACTTACAAATCTGAACAACTTTTAAAACTGAACAATTATCAAAACAGAAGAACTTCAAAAACTGAACATCTTTTAAAATTGAACAACTTTCATAACTGAACAACTTTTAAAACTGAACAACCTTTAAAACGGAACAACTTTTAAAACTAAACAACTTTTAAAACTGAACCATTTTAAAGCTGAACATTTTTTAAAACTGAACAACTTTTAAAACTGAACCATTTTTAAAACTGAACAACTTTTAAAACTAAACAACTTTAAAACTGAACAATTGACAAAACTGAACAACTTACAAATCTGAACAATTTTTAAAACGGAACAATTTTCAAAACTGAACAACTTTAAAAACTGAACAACTTTCATAACTGAAAAACTTTTAAAACTGAACAACCTTTTAAACGGAACAACTTTTAAAATTAAACAAATTTTAAAACTGAACAACTTTTAAAACAGAACAACTTTTAAAACTGAACAACTTTTAAAACTAAACAACCTTTTAAACTGAACAACTTTAAAACTGAACAAATTTTAAAAATGAACAACTTACAAAACTGAACAACTTACAAATCTGAACAACTTTTAAAACTGAATAATTTTCAAAACTGAACAACTTTTAACTACTACCAGATTTACTCGCCTTGTATCCTACCTAATAATCCACATGAATACTCGGATAATTTTAAATCGTCAAAAGGTAAATTCGGAGGAACGTATCATCGATGCATAATGTTTCGCAGCAAACTGAAATCGATAGAACTTCTATTCGGGGGATAACTTTTCGAAAAAATATACGTTCGCAAAGAGGCATTTCGAATGTTTGTAATTCGAAATTCGATTCCGGACCCCTGTGCCACATCGGCTATCAGCCCTCACTGTAACTACCTCTATACGAGTCAATATATCTGAAAAGCGTATGGTAGACGTCTTCTTACAAATTGGTTTATTTAGCCACGAAAAATCTGGAATTGCAGTGATATCGGGCAACAAAATGCTTCATACCTCCTATTTTTCTTACAGATTTTCTTCACACACACATACATCACGCATGTATTCCTTCTTACACAGAAAAAAACCGTAAAACTTTCAAAAATATTATATTAAATAGTCGTAAATTTCCCCCGGGCGCACATGAATGATTTACATCAGAATTCAGGAGCGCATACCAACAGACAGACAGTAAAACTCTAGTTGTATTCCTTTAGGGCGGCCCTCTTAGTACCTGTTACATACAATCTGATAACGTAAGAACTATTATTACCTCAAATGCCGTGTGATGCCGGCTTAGAATAGCATCACACAAATTGGAACAGTGGGTGACGTAAAAAGCGACTAAGGGATAATCATCCTGGGAATGGGCACCAACGTTCCCTGCTTACCGATAGAGGGACTACCCGCTCGCCCGGAAGAATATTGACCTATACAGGGTGAAATTTTACTAGTGACCGATAGCAAAAACTCAGAACCGGCTAGTGATAAGGAAAAACTTTCCCCAAGAAAAATAGGTCGAAAAGCGAAAAAAAAAATGTGCCTCAAATAGTAACTGAAATCAGCTGATCGGCAAGTTTGTATAATGTAATACAGTCATATGAACAAGTCTGTCCCTACATACCCTCTACACAGCCAACATAAGCCTCTTGCTAATATTCGCGTCACGTCGCAGCGATTTTCGCGTTTCGCGCTATGTCCCCGCGAATTCTTATTTCTTAAGCTGTGACAACGTGTGCTTTTTCAACACTATGCGCGAATCCCTTACGCTGGTGAAATTATTTACCCGACTAATGTACACACGGCGGAAACGTTTTGGGTACGCAAAGAGTTAAACATTATTATTGATTCGCAAACAGATGTTTCTCAGTGGTACCTATACTGCGTAGTGATGTACTTAGTAGAAAACCTGGTGACGAATTAAAACTTTGAGATTGTGATCAGGGTTGTGATGATGATTTGATAAGTATTAGTTAAAAGTAACTTTTCTGATGCATTATTAATCTTTGCTTAATCGAGCAAAGTACTTCCGCTTTGCGCCTTCTAAATATCATCATTCCTTCTTTAAAAAAATCTTGTATTATTATTATTATCAAGGACAAACTTAAAAAATAACTTGCCTGCGTGGATCGGCCAATTGATGAAAATGTTTTTAGGAGTTCCATTCAGAGTTTCCTGGCAGACTAGATAAACTTTTTTTGTTAGAGTATTTAGAAAAAAACTAATTTAGGTAATAGATAATATTACGCTAAGCGTAAACAAGCAGATGTATTCAAAATCAAAAACCCGACTGCGGTACTTTTAAAGTTGTATTTTGCAATAAAAATCTGCCATCTTGAATTTATAGCCGGTGTCACTCGCGCTGCTGAGATGAATCTAACTACCTACACCTCACATGTCAAGACCCATCCACCTGTTTAGGTGTTTAGGCTGTAGCCCGTGAATTCGAATTTTCTTGTCTACATACATACTCTCGAAGAACATAATCCTCCTGAGGCAGTCGGGTAAAAAGCGTCAGGATTCACAATTGCGTCTTGGCATGTGTACCTCCTCTACAAAGTTTGATCACGTATCGCAAACCTACTATCGGTGTTGGCTTATCTTATTTCAGCCATATTGTGAAAACGCTTGTGTGATGCAAAAACCTGGATGTTTTAATATAATTTTTGATGGGGAGTATAGTAGTTCTTTTTTAGAAAAGCGGTCGTATCGTCAACCTTGCCATTTATGAGACATTTTCATACAAATAGGTATTAAGAAAAACTTGTAAGTTGATCAGTGGGTCGGTATATCTGTTGGCGCTAAACGAAATTTTCTTTAGTCAAAAGACTCACCTTGAATAAACCGTGCAAGGAACAATTTTTTTCTTAGTTTTATTGTCTAGCTGGTGCAGGTCAAGAGAGCTGCATGACGATGTCTTATAAAATTAATTTAGAGATCAGAATACCTTAAATTTTCTGCACCCACATCTCGTAGGTACGGTTGAAGTCAGAATAATGTGACCCCACCCTACCAGTGGCGGATCCAGGGGGGGGGTCATGACCCCCCCTCCCTGAGCCGGGCCCAGGACCTTGGTTAAGTGGTTATATTAGTGTAGCCACAGCGGAAATGTCTTTTTCTACTTTGCGACGATTGAAAACATGACTAGGAGCTTCCATGGGTAAAGACCGCCTGACAGGACTGGCACTTTTAAATGTCTACACAAAATAATCTTCCCAACTGGGCTACAGCGGCTCACTCCAAGCCCGCGCATTATGCACAGTCGCGGATTAACCCTAAGGCAAACTAGGCAATTGCCTAGGGCATCACGCCTTGGGGGGCACCGGAAGAGGCACAGTTTATTTTCGTGCCCTCTAGGATATTGTTTCATGTCTAATGTCGTCATCAAAAATAACTACCAAAAGTTTAGTTAGGCTGCTCGCCCGTTTGTAGCGTAAAAAGTCGAACATGTGCGTTTCTGTCTGATCTAGAGTCGCGGCTTGTGTTTAGGCTGCTTGTCCGTTTGTAGCGTGAAAAGTCGAGCTAGCTTCGCTCGCGATACTTGGGCTCTGTCTGATTTACAGTTGCGGCTAGTGTTTAGGCTGTTCGCCGTTTGTAGCGTGAAAAGTCGAGCTCGCTTCGCTCGTGATACATATGCCTATCCGTGTAATTTACAGTCACGGTTAGTGTTAAGGCTGTTCGCCCGTTTGTTGCGTAAAAAGTCGAGCTAGTTTCGCTCGCGATACTTAGGCTCTGTCTGATTTACAGTCGCGGCTAGTGTTTAGGCTGCTCGCCGTTTGTAGCGTGAAAAGTCGAGCTCGCTTCGCTCGCGATACATATGCCTATCCGTGTGATTTACAGTCGCGGTTAGTGTTAAGGCTGCTCGCCCGTTTGTTGCGTAAAAAGTCGCGCTAGTTTCGCTCGCGATACATGGG